CAAGTAGTGGTGTGCAAAAATGAAAACGATGAAAACGGGTAGGCTTTGACGTTGCATAAAATATAGTGTGAGCACGCACATGATACGCTGATTTAAAATGAAACAGCCCTACGTTTTACACTAGCGTTGAGCGTGTCGAAAGTTAAGGGTGCATCAAAAGCTAAAGCTTGTACACATATACTGCTCAGGCCATTGTGTTTGAATGCTCACAGTAATTTATTACCCTCAGATTTGGTGTAAGTTGTCTCCTGATTGCTTACAGCAGAAAGAAGAAGACATTCTAACTCTGGATTGGTAGAAAAACTCCACCTGCTGACGGCCACCAATCATCTCGGCGCCGATTATATATTCACTGCATGCCAACGGTCGCGTGCTAAGAACGAGTTTTTCCCACGTGATTTCATACGATCGCAATTGTTCTTGACAAACAACAATGTTTAGTCAGGCAAGCGGTGATATGTGAAGCTTAGAATATTTTCTATTGATTGTGGCACACGTGGCAAGTTGCATAATTTTTTTTTCTAGAATTCCCGAAAAAGAATGCTCTTGGGTTACCTTGGTCTCTAATCATTCATCATAAAAGAGCACGAACTGAATCGCTGTTTGAAACGAAAACAATAATGATAAACAAGCGTGTAATCACGCGAACACTGAGGGCATTGCACATATACAGAAGGTAAGCTTTGTCTCACTAAATACATTACCAATAAGATATTTGGTTTTATCCTGCGAGCGAAGCGGAACATACAAGTGCGAGCATACTGTCCTCAACTACACTTCCAGTGAACAAGCGCACCATCCAAAGCACCGAGCTCGCTTTTATAGCGTTTGGTGCGCTCAACGATCCCCACTGGAACAAGCGCGCCATCCAAAGCACCCAGCTCGCTTTTATAGCGTTTGGGGCGCTCAAACCTTTGAAAACACAATTATAATCAATTCTCTTATTTCAATTATTTTTATTAAGTGCGCCTATGCGTGTTTTCTTTCTTTTTTTTTTTTTACTTTTACATTCACGTGCCATTTTCTTAGTTATATATTATTTTCCCAGAAGTCTGACAACTATAGTCTGTTTCATTATAAGTAAGAGCCACATAATCAAAGATGTAGACAGAAAATTAAAAATAAAAAAGAACGCGAACACACAATAAAAATGCGATGTAACGGCGCATTCAAAATTAGTCGTTAGTTTTTTTAGAGAGCAGCAATTTCGTAGGACGACATTGTTACCCGATGAAGGTTATAAAAAGTGCAGTGCAACTGCTAGCTCGGGGTCTTTAACGTGCATTACGCGTATATGTGATACACGATCGCATGACGGTAGGATGCAGATGGGCGACTGAACCCAGGGTCCCTGCTAAAGCCCCTTGATAAAGGCGTTTTTTACAAGTACACTGTTAGCGAAAATGTAATATTTCGCCTGTTTACACCCCATTTTCACTCGTTAGCATATTTTTACACGCTCTGCTAGTGATAAATCGTCAAAAAATTACTTGGGGTAGTAAAAATTGGTGTTTCGGTTTCGGTTTACACGACTAGGCGTGTAAGCAACACTGAAAACACCCCAGCCCAACCACGTGAGCCCAACACCCCAAGACGTCGAGCGCCATGTTGCTTCTGCCTTGAAGCGGTACGGCGGACGTAGCAGCCGAAGGTGAGTGTTTGATTTTTTTTATCAAGTTTGTATAGAATGTAGCACGTCTCAGATTTTTATTACATGACATTCAAGAACGTTAGATTTGCTTTGACCAAGCCGGCTCAGGCGTTAAGCCCGATTCACACAACCGGCGTTTAGCCACCCCGTCGATTGGAAACGACTCGACTGCTCGCCGGTTCTCTTGCGCGAGCTTTCGCTCGGGCGCTGGGAACCCTATGAACTGTGGTGCTTAAAGCTAGCACAATTAGGCACGGCTAGCGTCCCGGTGGAAGCTGCAGAGAGCGGAAACCGAAGACACCGTCGCATAAGAGTGGCGAAGCCGCGATCCTGCGCTGATCGTTGTCCCGCCGCTCTCTCCGGCAATATCGACACTTCGCTGCTGGGTGTCTCGTATTTCGACGTTTTAGAGAAACTTGGCATTGGCAAGCGCGAGGAGTCTCTATATCGTTTTCTCCGTCGCCTGCGTGGAGGAAACACGGTGGCGATAGAAACATATGCTCATGCAGTCGGTCAACTTAGACAATCCCCCTGTTCCCTCAATCCTATCGCATTCTTTGACTGCGTTTGTGACAACAACGTTTCCCCAGAGTGAAAGCTTTCAGTCACAACGGGCTACAAACTGGCTTGTGCATTGCATGTAGCCCTGAGGGAATTCTTCGCCGGTGACACCAGCACATTAGTTTCATTGGTAAGGTGACCGGCCACTAACGTGTTTGGCAAATGAAGCGATCACGGGTAAGTAGAAATGCAAACAATGTTGAATGAATATTAAGGTGGTTGTAGCCAGAGCCTGCCAGTTGAAATCAACCTTTAACAATATAGTCTGCGGTAACTTCTTTTTGCACTTAGGATTGCAATTTTAAACACAAAGCCACTCCACATAGCTGTCGAAAATCGTGTAAACAACAGCAGTCATCGTCCCCGGTTCGGATGAGCGAAGCCTTAGCTTGATGAAAAGAATGGCGGTCTATAATTCTTGGTTGTTTCAATCACAACCTCGCACAGCTGAACAGACAAACAAATCAAGGAAATATATCCCGCGCTGGCTTGCAAATCACAGCACACAAGCAGGGTACGTAGCAGAGCAGAAAACACTGGCAATGAGCACACGGAGGCATGCAGCTTCCTTTCTTTTTCCCTCGGCGAATGATTGGTTTGCTGCAGCATTCCGTAAGCATGTCGACATTCAAAAGTTGAGCCTGATCTGTCTTGCAGTGCCTTGCGGAACGGCAAGTATCGCCCACCATTCCACAAGGCACTGCAGGACTCGCAAATGTGTGAACAGTGCTTTGCAATAAAGGCCATGATCGGGCAGCAGGTGCCCATCTAAAGACATTTAATATTGATTGGCATTGAACTAACCTTTGGGCTTCATCACGTAGCAAGCATGGGTGAGGTATAATTCAAGAACATTTAATGTTAATACGTTGTGGTGCTTTCCCATATGTTTCGGTGTCACGGAGTGGGGTTCAAATTAATAAAAATAATTCAATGATCCACTCTGAGAATAAACGAGAAATTACGGGAAAAGAACAAGAGAGCTAAGTTCGACCATTGACTAGCGCTAGGTCCACGCCTGGTGTATAATCAGTAGAGAAAGATGATGACACAGGGAGGATAAGCAAACAAAAGATTAGATTTAATAAAGTGAAAAACTAAGCTGTACACGGCAATAGAGCACTCAACACAAACCACACTCCAGCTCAAAGCTATGGAGCCCTGCGAGCCAGAAACTAATACTAAAAAGACTCGACGCTCATAAAACCGGAATGAGCCAACAAAACAGTGACGAAAACCCGACACTAACAACGAGAGCAAACCGAGATGGAGCTCGAACGTTACCGCTACACACATGGGATAATCCCCCAAAACAGTCGCGACAGAAAGTAGCACTGTGTAAAAATCTTCCCAGCATTCAACAATTCGTACTTCAGAGCCAGAGAATGCAGTAGACAAGTCCTAGAAAACCAGGCTTAGCTTTCTGGTAGGTGCCGAGTCCAGTGCAGTCCGTAGTCTGGAGTTGTCGGCCGAAGAACGGCGTCTCGAAGTCCAGCGGTCCAATTAGAGGCTTGATGAGGTCGACACCGCGCACCACACAGCCACACACGCTTCAGCACAACAAACTCAAACACTTGTCCGACAGGCAGGGCAGAAGCCAAAAATTACACGTTCCATGACTCATCTGCAGGGAGTAACCGCGTTGAGTAGCGACCCGGCCAGCTCTAGGGTTGGACTACCTTCTTTGTTCCCGAACCCCCTTTTATAGGCTCGTCTACCGACCAACCTCCTGTTTCCCCGCCTTTCGGGTCAGTCAACTTTCAAGAAAAACAAAGCTACACAGCAACGACCCAAATGGCAAAACCTATTACATTTTTCAGACAACCAAACATATGTGCCCATCCATTCCCCCGTACGAGTCCAAAAACATCAATTATCGCCGATATATAGAACACGACAGGCGGCAGACTGAGCAAAGCCGCCGCCTTCAAAAAGCGTGCTAGCCAGCGCAAACATCTTTGTATCCCGGCGGCGCCCCTGCATGTCAAATCGGCACCATACGCGAGCCAGCATACGCACCCCTCCATCCGCGAGGTCAAAGCCACAAACTGTGACCTGGGATGATCTACGTCGCCCGTTAACAAAAACCCATTCCGCAAACGAGCAAATTCGTTGGGGACTTAGAAAGGAACTACGACGGGACGAACTGAGATTAAAAGTGGCACCACACTCCCCCTTTTTGACCGTACCAAAACTTAAAGTGGTCCAAAAAAAAGATCATAAAAGTATTTAAAAAAATGAAGAGAAGCCTGAATTTGTGACACCCGGTTTCTCCATCCTGTGTTTTTTTTTTGTGCTTTTTCTATTACGAAGCGAGACATTATTCCAGCCGTAGGCACCAGATGTAATTCCCGTCTGCGATCATAAGATTATAGGATCCTAACTGCCGGCAGCTAAGTGTCAATTACATCCGGCTTGTGCATACAGTGCAACATCTTTTGCTATTCAGCCGATCATCACTTTACAGCCTGGGTATCTGTTCTTGTAAACGACAGTAGTGCTACATGTTAAACGGCTCTAAAGCGATAGAGCAAACTTCGCATCTCATTATCTTTTAGCTGAATAAACTGTTTGTTTGGTTATGCTTGTTATCCAATTTTTGTTTTAAATTTAATTTTCTCATATAAACACCTTACATTATAGAAAAAAAAATTTTTATAGTACGGAGGTGTCCATATTAAGAAGACATGACTGTATCATCTTTGAAACTAGTTTGCCACAACCAGTGTTATAATATGTATTGATTTTTTATGCAGTGCCTGCCTTTCCTTGCCCCTTGTGAGGACGACTGAGAAAGCGACTTTGCGCCACAACGACGGATGGCAAGTGTCCCAAGTGTTGTCACCTATAGTGGTCATGTGCTATGTGTTCGCAGCATTGTAAGCCGACCGTGGAGCACTTTCAAAAGGGAACTTTCGCCATGTGCACAGTATGGCCGTGTACAATACGGGGCACGTACAGTCAGAAGAATTATGAGAGGGAACATGCGGGCGCGTGTCACTTGGTACAGGCAGAGCAGCCTAGCAAGTGTCATGCTTGTGCACTGAGGGGCCCTGGTTTGAAGAGCCGAGGCAGAAGTTTCAGCGGCGGTGTCACCGCCCTGGCGGCTTGTCGCCGAAGAAAAAACGGGGTTAGCTAGCTTTGCTCGTGGCTGGCTTTGTGTAGTGTGTGTAAACCGGGAACGTAGGCTTATGAACTTCGGCAACAAGAATACCACACGGCTTTGGTGTTTTGGTACGAGCAACAAACGTGACACTATCTGCTACGACTAGCTACGACCACCCACCGCAGCGGTGAAGGCATCGAAGAAGCAGAACCTGTGTATTACGCCGTTGCCGTAACCCAACAGTGCTCATTTGTCATGGAGGGCTTTCCGCCCAGAGACTTTGCTCCTCACTGAGTGTTATTTCCCGTGTTTCTCTTTGTGTGCTCAGTGGCTGGACGGGCCTCATACAGCAGTTCTTCAGGCTCAAAGGTGACTAAAAGTTGAGGGTGGATGGACTTGCAGCAATCCCCTCGGTTGGTGCGTGTGACAGAACCTTTGTACGGCATCATCGGGAGGATGCTGTTGTGAGTTAGCAAGTTGTCCAGTTGTATGTTCATTACGCTAATATTTGAAAAAGCTTGTTTAAAAGGATGCTGGACCAAAATTTGGATTTCATAAAATAAGGTCGCGGAAGCTTTGAATGGGAGCTCTACAAACTCCGAAACATCACTCATACATTAATATCGCAAACGGATGGCCGTATTCTTGGAAAGGAAAGGGCACAATCAAACAAGAAATGTGACATCATACTTCTGGTACACTTTAGAATGAGGGGAAGCGGCCTCGCTTCTTTCATTCCCGCTTCGGTTCACCTGCTTAAAGGCCGGCCTGCAAGCAGAGAGAAGGAACCCGACCCTCACTTTCCTTCTCGCCACTGTGAAAGGACGAAATAGCCTCTCGTTTCCTCCTCGCCGTTTTCCGTTTTTTTTCTTTCTTTTTTTGCTAACTGCTTGTTTTTGTTTTTTTTTTTGTTTTTTTGTTTTTTTACAAGTTTGGGGTGGAGGAAATGAAAGCTTCGAGGATTTGAAAAGATTATCCAGAAGCCAGCCGGCACACCTGCGACAAGGAGCTGAACCAACCGAGTAACTGTTTTGAGCGAGCTTGGCACTTGCTCTTCCCAACGAGTTGCATTGGCTCTTTTTTAGCATTGGTTTGGAAGACGATTCTTTGCTGTTGTGAGAGCACAAATACCTCGTTCTGCTAAAAGAAGTAGTCATTAAAGTATCAATTTTAATATAAATATCTGATCTGGCATATTTCGTTGTCGGATTCATGGTGACAACGGGAAGTACGAGCGGCGTTTTCTGTATATCAGGGATGGCACTCCATAGACCAGTGGTTCTGAATCATTATGGTTCGTAAACCGCCAGAGGTGACGGAGGACCCCATCCGTAGTGGGTCTAGCAGTTTTCGGCGTGGAGCGTTTTGCTGTAGGGCATTTCGGTGCGGACGTTTCGGTGCACGGACGTTTCAGTGTACGGACTTTTTGCTGCAAAGACTTTTTGGTGTGGGACTTTTCGGTGCGCGGATATTTCGGTGCACGGACATTTTGATACATGGACATTCGACGCTATGGTTTGCTCTCCGGTATCTCTTTTCCAACGTACGCAGACACGCTTCACATCGTGTTTGCGCGTTGAGTTGATAGAGATAGTCTCCTCTATAAGGTTTTTGCTTTATTATTGGTCATACGTGTAGGAAAGGACCCAAACAGCAAGACGTTTGAGGCTGTTTGTGTATTCAGAACAATTTTGAATATCTTCAAATGCGCCGCCTCCGCGTAATCGCACAGCTTCGATTGTTAATAATAAATTGTGATAACCTCGCACGACAAAAAAAACAATGTAATTATCACTTGTAACTCATTAGGGAATAAAGGAGGCGTGTGCGGGTACAAGATAAGTGTAATAAATTCAAATATCGATTTGAATCAAGTAAAACAAGTGGAATTTGGTGAATGCTAAATCTATTTTATTTGGTATCAAATGTTTGCTCATTCTCGTACGAAAAAAACAAAACAAAAAAAAAAACAGTGACCATGCACAGAGCATACACAGCGTATGATCTGTGGTCAATGTCTCCTTCCATGCCGTAATGATGTCGCCGGACGTAAAGAACTGCCTTACAATCCTGCTTATTCAGGGCAATTTTTTTTTTTAACGACTAGACATTTTTCTACAAAAGACGTTCGAGTTACGCAATTTCGGTTTGTGCCTTATCTGTAGTCATCAAAAACACCAAATCATTCATTTTTAAAGAGATGTAGTGCACGTGAAATGGTTCACGGCGTCCTAAAAAGCCTAATTTGGACGCGAATCGTGTTACCGCAATCTTTTCGGCCGCCGCACTCCTCGCCCCTTCTACAGTGGCGTTGTCTCAGCGATGCGCATGATTTGCCGTTTTGGCTTCATGGCGTTAGGCTGTGCCACGCGGAGATGGAGCCCACATAAAATCAGAACTATATTTTCGCGCCCAAATTAGGACGACGCCCTATCAAGACGCCGTATAACAGTGTACGCGCTTTACATCTTTTTAAGGATGGACGGTTTGGTGGCTCGCGATTACGGCCAACAACTTTCTAAATACACGATGTCGTTTTTCTTTTCTAACTAAAAGGTTAATTAGCGAATTTTAGGCAATCGATCGGTTTTAGTTGCGTTCTTTATTGAACCTAATCCTCGCCTGGCCGTATAGCTCACCTACACAAATCGCAATGGCGCTAATTTTCACTGGACAATTTGGTGGCTTTCGATAATGCCCAACAACTTTATGAATCAACTATCCCGTTTTCTTTTATATTCAAAAAGTTAATTAACAAATGTTAGGTAACCAGTCGGTTTTCGTTGCGTTCTTTCTTGAACCCAATCTTCACCTGGCCGTGTAGCTCACATCCACAAAACGTTAATTTGCATGTTTTTTTCTAATATCTTGTAGGTGAAAAAAAAAGAAAGAAAATCAACGCTGTATATAAAACAGAGGGCAGTTCTTTTCTGATATAAATAAAGCGTGAAGCACGTGCCTTGCATGCATCTCTCTTTTTTTTCCCGGCCTCTAAAAACAAATTTCTGGACATTCGAAATTGAGTTTATGATGGGGCGGGCGCTTTATCACAAGGTATTTTGTCATGTTTCATAAGCTTTGTTACAGGTCAGAAGGAAGCCACGGCAGTCGTATCACGTTGCAAACAGCTAATTGGGGTGTTTCTCAAGGAGCTCTAGGACTTTCCAATTAACATTTCGGTTCTTAATACATTTAAAAAAGTTTGGTACTTAGTCCTAAACATTTAATTTATGAGGCATAATTAAAAATACTGCAACTCTCGCAAGACGTCTGCCCAAAACATAAAGTTCGTTTCATTGGCGTAAAGTGGCTGCGCTCTAATTTCGCGTTACAGAGATTTGCAAGCGTCTTTCATTTTTATGCTTGGTTTTTAAAGATTCGTGAAAAGCATCCTCGAACTTATCTGTCAAGCCGCGTACGCGGACAGCGCGGCCTCCTCGGCAAGTTGTTCGAAGACGACAATGAATAAAAGGTACGATCAAAGTCTTAATTCCTGAAGAAAGCGCGAGTTTAAAATAATTCTAGGAGCGTCAGTTGATTTTATTTCTACTATATTCAAATTTCAACACTCGTCGCAGGCAGCATGAAAAAAAGCACTGCACTCTTGGCGCAAACCAGTGCCCAGCCAACGGTCCTACACTCAAACACGCATCACAACCCGACCTGTTTGAAAAATAAATAATTTCCAGTACCTTGGTACAAAAGGCGACTTTTCTACTGAGCGTGATATTTTGTGGACCCAAAAGTCCTGTGGCCGAGATTTGGTAGTTCATAGCTTCAGGGAGACGAAGAATGACGGATGCATTATTTCCCGCGGAAGTACTGTTTTGACGTTGAATTCCACATAAAATTGTATTTGCACCCATTGGGTGGCACGATACCGATCATGCTTGATTACTTTTCTTTTAGAGACAACATAACAGGCATAATCTACAGATATTGCAGAATTTATTTTAATTCGCGTACAGCGCGAAAGACAAGTATGGACTAAAGACTACAATAGAGCTCTGCATTTTGTACTGCATTTATTTCTGTACTTGTGGACAGTTAGTCCGCATGACTATATTCAAAAATTGCAAAATCGTTTAAACCTACCCCTTTTTATAGTTTTTTTTTTAGATGAATTGTAGCGAATCCCGTCTGGGGTTCGGGTAAAGATCTCGCACGTGTTCAAGGACGCATTTCGGTATGATTTCCCGCTTGGTGACAACGTTGAGCTGGCCGCTGTTCCGCTTCTTTTCAAACTAGGACGGGCAACGCCAGATGCCTAAATTAGCCAAGCAGCCCCAAAACTTGCGGTAGTACACTTTCCGAACACCTGGGTTTTTTTTGGAGATGGTCGCTGGCCTTCGCCCACCCTGACAGAGCACCGAACAATTATGATGCAAGGGCTGCAGAGGCTATCTGCGCATTCCATTTCTTAATCAGCGAACAAATCGGAACAGAAGAGAATGAAAACTTCGTAATACCTCCTGTCTTTTAATAAATGGCATAAGGTGCTACTATTGCTAGTTGCACTATTTTACGTGAAGAAAATTGTGATATTGCGGTTCAATCTCCGTGTTTCCCGTTCTCTTTGCTGATACGCAAGATATTGGTCGGCTGTCGGGTTTTCAGTTACATTTGTTGACAGAAACTAAATGCACCTTTGGCCACGAAGAAATTTTTTTCAAAGGTATGAAATATACCATAAACCGTTTCACTTTTTATGGAAGT